GGTTGCCCCAACCCGCGGGCGCTGTGCAAAAAAATTTTCCGAGCCAATCGGCGTGGTTTTTATGTCACGCCCCGACCGTTTGAAACTGTCAAGGAGTCCGGCAGAGCAGGCGCTCGGCGGGGCGAAGGTAAGAAGGGGGAGGGGTTGCTGCACACGTTACACTCAATGTCGGGCCCCAGCGTGGGTGGCCCCGCGCCCCGCTACCTCCACCCCGGCGGGGCCGGGCCGGGCCGCGCGCGGTGCCCCAGGACGCGGGCCTGTGCCCCTCAGCCGGGTTGTGACTGGGCATTGCGGTAGCGGTCTCCTGCCGGTGCCGTGGGGCTTGGGGTGGGCCCCTCCGCTCCGCTCCCGTCCCGAACAGCTCTTCCAAGCGCGCCGAGTCCCGAGTGACAGACGCCCAAGTTTGGGAACTGAAACGGAGGCCTGACTCCTGACTGCGGCTGGCTGGGGTGTTTCTGGAAATCGCCAGGCTCATGCGGGAAGCGACTCTTGTTTCAGGGCAGGAGCCCGCTCCGCTCCACCCCGCTCCCCTGGAGACCAGCGGGCAGTGCCAAGGGCAAGGCACCACGGGATGTTTTGGTCAAACAAAACCCCGACCTGAAGTCAACATGCCTTGTCCGTGGCAGATCTAGTTTCTGAGAAGGGGGGCACAGGTGGTGCAGTGCAGCGTCCCAGATAACACTGCATGCTATTTCTTCTCCAGTGAACAAGAAAGTTGGAAACTTTACTAATATGCTGGGGACCTAGGGCTGTATTATTAAGATGGAAGCAAAAAAATATAACTTCATTGGAATGAGTTAAAAGCAGTTTTCAGGGCCATGAAACAAGAGCTCTGTTACCAGGAGTAGTGAACAGAGGGAGGAACTGCAGGAGAAAGGTTAAGTGATTAGTGGAACATCAAGAACATTAAATCATAGAAAATCAGAGTTGGAAGGGACATCAGAGGTCATCTAGTCCAACCCCTGATCCAAGCAGGATCATCCCCAACTAGATCACCCCAGCCAAGGCTTTGTCTAGTTGGGTCTTAACAATCTCCAAGGATGGAGAATCCACCACCTCTCTGGGTAACCTGCTCTAGTGTTTTACTCCCCTCCTAGTGAAAGAATTGTTCCTAATATCTAACTTAAACCTCTCTTGCTGCAACTTGAGACCATTGCTCCTTGTTCTGTCATCTGCCACTACTGAGCATAATCTAGCTTCATTCTCTTTCAAACCCCCCTTCAGGTAGTTGAAGGCTGTTATTAAATCTCCTCTCAGTCTTCTCTTTCTAGACTAAAAAAGCCATTTCACTCAGCCTCTTCTCAGAAGTTATGTGCCCCAGCCCCCATCCATTTTTGTTGCCCTTCACTGGACTCTCCAACTTGTCCACATCCTTTCTATAGTTGGGGGGATGACAAAACTGAACACAGTACTCTAGATGTGGCCTCACCAGTGCTGAATAAAGGGAAAGAATCACTTCCCTTGCCCTGCTGCTCTCTTCTAAAAAGGAGAGAGGGTTGTTAACACCTGTGGAAAGAAGTGTTTAGAAGAAATCAGGTAGACTTTAACGAGCCATGAACTCAGTTGACACTGTCTCTGCTGCCTAAACAAAAATGCTGCTGCCACTGCCAGGGGTTTAGGTTGTAGCCGTGTTGGTCTAAGGATATAGGCAGACAAGGTTCCTTGGGTGAATTTGATATCTTTTATTAGACCAACCCAATGGTTGGAGAATAGTTATTAAGCAAGCTTTCGGGTTCAAAAACCCTTCGTCAGGCTTTTTTTTTTTTTTTTTTTT